AGGGGGCACAGAGCAGGGAGCACAGAGCAGGGGGCACAGAGCAGGGGGCACAGAGCAGGGGCACAGAGCAGGGGGCACAGAGCAGGGGGCACAGAGCAGGGTGGCCAGAGCAGGGGGCACAGAGCAGGGGGCGAGCAGGGGGCACAGAGCAGGGGGCACAGAGCAGGGTGGCACAGAGCAGGTGGCACATAGCAGGGTGGCACAGAGCAGGGGGTACAGAGCAGGTGGCACAGAGCAGGGTAGCACAGAGCAGGGGGCACAGAGCAGGGTGGCACAGAGCAGGGGGCACAGAGCAGGGGGCACAGAGCAGGGTGGCACAGAGCAGGGAGTACAGAGCAGGGGGCACAGAGCAGGGGGCACAGAGCAGGTGGCACAGAGCAGAGGGCACAGAGCAGGGGGCACAGAGCAGGGTGGTGCAGAGCAGGGGGCACAGAGCAGGGGGCACAGAGCAGGGGGCACAGAGCAGGGTGGCACAGAGCAGGGGGCACAGAGCAGGGTGGCACAGAGCAGGGTGGTACAGAGCAGGTGGCGCGGAGCATGGGGCACAGAGCAGGGGGCACAGAGCAGGGTGGCGCAGAGCAGGGGGCACAGAGCAGGGTGGCGCAGAGCAGGGTGGCACAGAGCAGGGGGTACAGAACAGGGTGGCACAGAGCAGGTGGCACAGAGCAGGGGGTACAGAACAGGGTGGCGCAGAGCAGGTGGCACAGAGCAGGGGGCACAGAGCAGGGGGTACAGAGCAGGGTGGCACAGAGCAGGGGGCACAGGGCTGTGCTTAGCAGCCAGACCAAAAGGGCTTGCATGCCAAGCAGAGGCCTCCCGGGGCTGAGCTCCACCAGGGAGGGCCCTAAATTACATGAATGAACGATCCGCCAGCCACTCCCCGCCCAGCACTTCCGTCAGAGAATGAGGGGTTGGGGTGCCAGGAGGGAGACTCAGCCGCTGAGGCCCTGCTGCCCCCCAGCCCTCCGGCCGGCCGGCCCCACAGGCCTGCGCAGAAGCAATTAAACGCGCTTGTTCGCCACCATAAAGCCAAGGGGGGACTTGAACCTGAGCAGCTGGCTCCGGAAGCTGCTCCTAGCCACACCTCCTGGCCTGGCTGGGGGGCGGGGGCGGGGGCTGCGGCACAACCAGATGCAGTCAGCGCCACAGTCACAGCTTTGAGGGAAGACAGCTACAAACGGTGAAACTCCCCAGCGACTGCTCACTGCGTTTGAATTTTAACCCCAAACCCTGGCTGGGCCTTCCAACGGGCCTGTGGGCGGCGGCAGGAGCCTCACAGAGCACAGTGCCTGGCACCAACAGGGATCAACACCAACGGGCCAGGAGCGAGCGAGAGACGGAATGCTAACCGTGCCCTCACAGCGGCTGCCTTTCCCAGCTCACCCCCCCCTCCCCCACCGCGGAGGGCTCTGTGAGCACAGGGGCTAAGACAAAATGGCAGGGGAGCCTGAGGCAGCAGCTGTGCTGCCGTGCTCCGGGCGTCCCCTGGGGCAGTGCCTCGGGCATCCTGCAGTCTGGTTGTTGCTGGCGGATGTTAAGGGCTCTGGCAGGGAGGGCAGGGAGCACTGAAGGAGGCATCGGCTGCCGGAGTCTCACTCCGGTGAGGGGCTGGAAGGAAACTTCTAGGCCGTGAGGAGCCCAGAGAGGTGGGCAGTGGCCTGGGCGAGAATCTGGGCCTCCGGCCTCATTCCGTCCTAGCTGAGCATTGAGGTGCCAGAGCACTCCAGCCGGCTCAGGCTCCTCCCCAGCAGACACACACGCAGTCTGCACGCCTGCCTCGGCTTGTGACCCACAGGAATGGCAATGACAGCGACAGCCTGGCTGGTCCCTGTGTCCCCCGGGCCACACTCCCCCGGGCAGGGAGATGGACCCCCACATCACAGCTGACCTCAGCCCTGCACTCTAGCTGCAAACCTGCTGTGACCCGACGAAGTACTGTTACTACAGTCACGGTGCCAGGGATAACGGGTGCTTGGTGTGGACGTCCTGCCTCCCAGGGCCCCCCCGGCGCCCGCCCTCACACAGCTGGCTGGCGGCCTGGATGGGCCTCCATGCCCCCAAGAGCTGAGCTGGCTGGGGACTCTGGGCAGGAGAGGGCTTGGTCCCCCCTTTCCCACCTGACCCTGAGACGGGCCCGCCCCTCGTGCTGGCCGGCCTGCGGTGGCAGCCGTCCCAGAGGGGCCTCAGCAGCCTCGTTAGGAAAGTAGTGACAGATGCATTAGCTGCTAAGGTGAGGGGGAGCTGAGGGCTGTCACAGGCTGAGGAAGCCATGTTCTGGGTCACTGGGCCCCATCTGGGCAGGGGCTGCAGGTGGGGAAGGGACAGAGACAACGTCCCAAGTGCAGTCACCCCCAGAGCTGGGACGCTCCTGGGACTCAGGGCCCGGAGCAGGGATCTATCTTCCCATCATTCCGCATTCTTGCTGCCTGCCTCCTGGCTGGATTCTACTCAGTGATCCTTGGCAAACCCCCAACTCCTCTGTGCCTTGGCCATTCCAGCCCGATGCTCTGCACTGTGTAACCGAAGAGGAAACTGAGGCCAGGGCGGGCCTGCCCCGTGCAGGGAATCAGAGAGCCCTGCTCTGCGTTCGGCCACCAACAGGCCGTACGCCCTCCGGACCTGCTTCCCATCTGTGAAAGGCCCTACGTCACCCTGCCGAGTGCGCAGGGTCTCTGGGCTACAGGCCGGGGAGGGCCCATTTCTGCTGAAGAGGCTCCGAGGCTGTCAGTGTTCCTGCCGCGCCAAAGCAGTCTTCCCGGAGCCTGAGGCCCGGCCGCGAACTCAGGTTGGCCAGGTACTGAGGTCCTCTCGGTGGGTGTCTAGGCCCGGGGAAAAGCACATGCAGCCCAGCCAGTGGCCTCGACCTCCGCCAGCGACGGAGTGGGTGGGAAAGTCCCAACCACACTCCACAGGGGCCCGGAACAGGCCTCACACCCCAGGACATAGGACACACAGGCAGACACGGGCCCCCGCCCACGGATCCATGCACCACACCGCGGAGCACAGCCTCGCCCGCGCTGTGGACACCCCACACATGTGAGCGCCAAAGACACTCGGACAGACAGCCCCTCAGCGCACCTCCACTACCCAGACACACACGCACAACCACACATCGCCCAGTGGAAGACCCAGACACCCACTGTACACACCATCACAGTCACGGCACATCCTCGGCAACCCAGCACAGACTCATCGTGTGCCTGATGCAACCGTGCAGGAACCATCACCCTCCCATGTACAGAATCCCTCAAAACAGACACCGAGACACGCTGCACACACAGCGCAGAGCGAGCGCACACACACGCACACACACACACACACACACACGCCACCTGGTTACATTCCACAGTGCAGGAGCCCCGAGTCCGGAAGAGCAAATCCAGATAAATACATGTGTCCTTGTGTCCTGAACATAAATCTCAGCTCCCGCCTGACAGCCTCCTGGCTACAGGTAAAGTGAAATGTGTCTTAAATATTTTATAAATGAATAAACCTGCTCAGAGAAGGTAATTTACAGTACCATTGGCTCAGGCTCACATCGCTTCGCATCTTGTCACCCGGAGAGCACACAGGGTGGCAGCCGGCGGTGGGCGTGGGGCACAGTGTCTGGTGCCGGATATCATTCCCAGGGAGGGAGCACCATTCCCAGGGAGGGAGCACCGGCGACTCTCCATCCACTCACTCCAGCTGCTGCTGGGAACAGGGCCCTGCATGCTCCTGTCTCTTTGGCTCCTCCCCCTCTCCCATCCTTGGATGCCTTTTAAATGCCAATCCATCCCTGGCAACTGATTTCCAAGGCCTGTTTCGCACAGCCTTGCATGTGGCGATGGGACTGTTCAGGAATGAGGGAGAAGAGGCCTGGCAGCAGGGACAGGCTGGGGTAAGGGCAGCTGAGAGAGGCTCTGCCAGGTGCCGGGCCCACGTGCCCCCAGGGAGAGGCCCCAGGGAGGGGACACAGAGAGGGGGCAGGGTGGTCACAGGACCAACAAGGGAGCTTTGAGTCTGAGCACAGCGGGCACAGGACCACCCAGATGAGGCTGAGGCCTGAGGCCTTGCCGTCCCCTTGCCCATCTGGGGCGGTGAGAGCCCCTTGCTGCTGGAATCTGAATCTCAGCTGGGCCCACAGCGTTCACTGTCCCGGTCCCAGGCCCACACTGCTTCTCAGAGCTCGTGCCCCAGGGAAGGCTCCTGGAGCGGCAGGTGGCAGCAGAGCGGAGAGAGGCTTTCCGGAAGCTCTGCCAGAACGGGTTCCTTTTCTCTGCAGACCCTCACAGGAAAAGGAGCATTACATACAACAGCAGAACCAACTGGTATTTACAAGAGAAGCAATGGCACACTGGCAGGGGCCAGGGGAGTCAAAGGTGACTTTGGAGCCTGGGAGCGTGCGGATTGTTAGCTTGTCCTGTGTCCACGTCTGTGCTAAGCCGTCCTCCCCGTGCAGTGAGGGGGAAGCTATCAAACCCACCAACTACCTTACCAAGCCGGGTGTGTTTTATATTCACTGTATTTATGTTTGTTGTATGTTTACAAAACAATGTTTAGAATAGTTATGTCCTAGGGGTGGGATCAGAGAAATTTTACTTGTTTTCCTGAATTTGTAGGTTTTTCTAAAATCAACATGTTAATAACCTGATAGGTTAATTTAAAATGAAATGCTTAGGACAGAAAATTCTTTTTTATTTCAAGCCTGAGTCCCTCCCCACTGGAGCCCCTCCTCCTTCGCCCCCTCCTCCTGTGCCCGACCGCGAGTGCAGCCGGCGGCCGAGGGGCGCCTCGCAGAGCCCTGGGGCCGGCCCCGGGGAGCGCAGGGCGCCCGGGCAGCGGAGCGCGGGCTGCGGGCTGCGGGCTCCGGGAGCGGCCGAGCCGGGGCGCCCCAGCCGCACGAGGGGCCGCCGCGCTGCAGGCTGGGAACCCGCGTCCAGCGAAGGGGCGGGGTCCGGGGCCGCGAAGCACGCCGGGACCCTCGCTGCCATGGCGACCGGAGGCTCCGCCCCTCGCAGCGGGGCCGGTCCGGCCTTGGAGGCGCCCGGCCGCGGCCAGGGTGGTGGGCGCTGCGGCCAGAGCGGGCGGCGGGGGCCGGGAGTTGGGGGCGGGGGCGCCGGACACGGGAATGGGGGGCGAGGGGCGTGGAGCTTGGGAGCGGAGGGCGGGGTGAGAGAGGGGGCCGGGGCGTGAGGAGCAGCTGGACGGCAGCTCTGGAAGCTCGGCTCGCCTCTGGCCGCGCCCTCTGGGTCCCCTCCGGGCGGAGCGGAGAGGAAATGGCCCCGGAGGCGCTGACCGCCGGGCCGCCCTGCCCTGGAGGCGGGCCCAGAGCGGACTGCCCGCCCGCCCCCGCGGCCCCGCCTTCCAGCCCGGTGACCTCTCCCACCCGGGGCGCCTCCGCCCTGACTGCGGGGAAGTCTGGGGCCCTGGGCCTGGGCTGCCAGGCTCACAGCACAGACCTGTGCCCACAGCTCCAGCGGCCATCCTCGCCCTCCCGGTAGACCCGGCTGGGCCGGCAGCTGGGGCAGACCTGATCCTCCCAGCAACAATGGGACAAGGGTAGGATGGGAGCGCACTGCTGGGCCCGGTGCCTAGCTTCCCGGTTCTCCTTTGGTGACGACCCGGTTCGGTGGGCAAACAAGCCGAGATCTGTTAGGAGTGAAGTGGCAGGGCTGGGGCTGAGCCAGGCTGGGGCTCCAGATCCTGTCCACAGAGTGGCACTCCCAATTCCTGGCCGCTGGGCAATGGCCCGCCACCTCCCCCACCCGCCCCTCTACCGCAGGCCTGGCTGGCCGGCCGAGCTGGTCTGCAGCCACACAAAGCCCCGTTTGTTTGCTTTCTCTGCGGTTCCCCTGGATGGCTTTCTCTGCTACCTGTGGGCCTGGCTTCCTCTCCAAGTCGCCTTCCCAGCCAGCTGACGGGAAGGAGGAGGCAGCCATTCCCGTGAACCCTGACTCCCAGCCACCCCACTCTGCCATCGTCCCTCCGGTCACCCCCAGTGCAAGGGGCACCCAGCCAGGTTGGCCTGACTGAATGGCTTGGCAGCCCCCCTCCCTGCCTCCCAGTATGGAGGGTGAAGCAGGAGCCACGCCTCAGCCAGGGGCTGGGGGAGCTGGAGAGGAGCCAGAGAGGCCCAGGCAACTCCCCTCGCCTTTTGTGAGCAAGCCTCGTTTTGTTTGTCCATCAGGAAGGCTGCCCTGATTTCCCAGCAACCCACTGGCTGCCAGGAGATAAGGAAGTAAACGGGACCAGGAGGGCTAAATTGGAGGCCGCGGAGGGCCGCCCTGGTTTCATGGCCCTCACCCACCCCTCACTCTTTCTAGGGTTCCTCGGTCTCCCAGGCTGGATGAGGGCTTACAGGGTCCCGGGGGCCTCCTGGGGCGGGTGCCCCGTCCGTGCCTGTGCTGAGCAGCTCTCTCCGCAGGTCCTGGGAAGCCCTATCAAAGGAAAATGAACACCCACATTCCACACCACCGCCTCCCCCTCTCTCTCCTTCCAAGTAAAGAAACCCAACACTGATAGTGCACAGAGATACCTCAATCTGGCTGGCTCTACCCAGGGTGCATTTCCTGCACCCTGCCACCTGGGTGGCCTCCCGCCATCCCTCCCTCCCTCCCTCCCTGTCTGCCTGCTTGTGGAGTTTAACCCTTACATAACTCTGGGATAAAGGAATGACTGTGCTCACTGACAGAGGACAGGATGCTCGCTCCCTTCTGTCCAACTCCAAGCCCTAGAAGCGTGGTCACTGACTGTCTGCCAAGCGAACACGTGACCCACAGGCAGAGCGTGGCTTTAGTCTCCAATCTGAGCTCTGCCATTTGTGAACCTCTCTGAGCTTCAGCTTCCTGGGCAATCTACAGGGCAGTGATGGCCTAGAACCACCAATGCCCAGCACTCGGTAAAGGACGGCTTTTCTCCAGGATCCCCAGCATCCCAAGGGACAGGCATTCGTTCACTTGAACATCACAGGAACCAGGCCCCTTCCACTGCTTTCCCCACCTGGCCGGGCCTCCAGGCACCCCCCAGTCACATCTCCGGCCTCTGGAATGCTCCCTGCTCCTGTCCTGTCCGGAGACCAGAGCCTCTGTGTGTAATTGGCTAGAGGGGGCGCCAGGGGGCAGTGTTACCCAGCTCCATCCACATCCTGCTGGCCTCAAGAAGAGCCACTCAATTAAGTCCGATTTGGCAAAACGTCTGCTTGCAGTGCTATTTTAGGCCACAGTGGTGATTTCTGGGCTTATCTCAAAGGTATCCTAAACCCTATTCCTTCCCAACTCCCTACCCCTATCTGCTTGGAATGAAAACATTGTTCTTCCTCTTCTCTGTTCCTGTTTCTCTTCCCCGCCTATCAGAGGGAGGCACTGAGAAAAGGGGCAGAGGCTGGGTCCCAGGAAAGCAGCACTCCCACCCACAGGGCCTCTGCAGGCCCGTGGCTCAGTCCCCCAAACACAGCATGCGGGGAGTTGTAGTTCTCTTAAACTGGACAAAGTGAGTGGGCCTCTGGCCTTTACCTTCTCCCCACCTCTGGAAGCTCCCTAGGCTGGTCCTGTTCTCCTGTCTCCTCAGACACTCCAGGTGTCCGCCTTCCCAGCAGACGCCTTTGGACTTTCTGCCTCTGAGCCTTTGCTGGGGCTGTGCCTCCTGCCTGGAGAGACCGCCTGAAAGTTATCCCCTCCACAGAGCGGAAAGCTTCACGCCTCACTCTGCACTTTATCTTCTTAGCTTGCAAAAATTACAATGAAATCTACAGAAGTGCAATTATTTCTTTAATGTATGCTAACCTGCCAGACTCTCCCTTCAAAAGCACAGGGGTGGCATCCCCGAGGTCACTACTGTTTCCCAGGTTCCACAGCCCCTGGCAGTGCTGGCACTGGCAGATCATGCTGTGCAGGCTGTCCTGTGCATCCCGGCTCAGCCTCCAGCCTCTCCCAGCAGGGATGTCCTCGGGGACTTGCAGTCAGAGCGCGTTTGCTCCGTGAGAACCACTGCTCCCCGCCCGGCCCAGCGCTCCCCGCCCCTAGTGGATGAGGCATGACTCTCCCCTCCTCCCCCGGCCCCCAATACAACAGATGATGTGTTTTCATTTTTTAAAAAACACCTTTATTGGGAGTATTACAGATGTCCTCCCTTTTTCCCTGTTGCCCCTCCACTTGGTTCCCAACCCGCCCCAGACCTTCACCTTCCTATTGTGTCCATAGGTTCACCAGTTCATTCTGTTCATTAGATTTCTTGTTTTAGATTCAGTTGTTGAATCTAAATACATATGTATTTGTTGCCATTTTATCTTCATATTTTTAATCCCTTCTTCCTCCTCCCTCTTCCTCCTCCTTTCCTCTTTCTCCTCTAAAAAAAAAAAAATACCCTTCAGCATTTCATATAATACTGGTTTGGTGGAGATGGACTCGGTTAGCTTTTTCTTATCCATGAAGATCTTTATCTGACCTTTAATTATGAATGACAGCTTTGCTGGGTAGAGTAATCTTGGTTGTAGGTCCTTCCTATTCATCACTATGAATATTTCTGGCCATTCCCATCTGGCCTGCATAGTTTGTGTTGAGAAATCAGCTAACAGTCATCTGGGTACTCCCTTGTAAGTAACTGACTGCTTTTTTCTTGCTACTTTTAAGATTCTCCCTTTGGGAGAACCAAGATAGTGGAATAGGTAAATGCCTGTACTCGCTGCCTCCCACAAACAAATCAAAATTACAACTAAAATACAGAACAACTGTCATCCAGAACCACCTGAAAGCAGGCTGGGTGGAAGTCCTACAACTAGAGAAGTAAAGAAGGAAGCACACTGAGGCCAGAAGGAGGGACGGAGGCGTGTGCCGTTTTATTAGTCAGGAGATAGTCTCTGCAGAGGCCTCCATGCGGAAGGAGCAAGAACCCTCTCCCCCGCCAGGGTCCAGAGCTGGGAAGAGAAGTCCCCACAACTACGGGCTATAAAAACCAGCAGGGATTTTGGCTCAGTGACAGAGGCTACCGGAGACCCAGGTTTTTCATTTAAAGGGCCTTGGACTCCCTCTGAGCTCCAGTGCCAGCCACCAGGTGGCAGCTCTGGGGGGCCCAGACACATAGGAGGAGGAACTGGATAGTCTGGCATCAAGGCAGGAACTTGGGGCAGCTTTCTTCAAGATGGAGGTGCTTGCCGATACCGGTTTGGCTCAGTGGTAGAGCGTCGGTCTGTGGACTGAAAGGTCCCAGGTTCAATTCCGGTCAAGGGCATGTACATTGGTTGCGGGCACATCCCCGGTAGGGGGTGTGCAAGAGGCAGCTGGTCGATGTTTCTCATTGACGTTTCTAGCTCTCCATCCCTCTCCCTTCCTCTCTGTAAAAAAATCAATAAAATATATTTTAAAAAAAGAAAAAAGAAAAAAGATGAAGGTGCTTGCAGGGGTCATTGTTCCTACGCTGGGACCTCCTGGTCTCAGGGCTGACTGGCAGCCATTTCTGTTTGCTCCACTCTGGTGATTCCCTGAGACCCCACTTCAAACAATTTACAGCCACTCTCCCCTGTGTGCAGCGTCTTTTACTTATGAATGGCCTGTCCTGCCACAGGCTTCACACTTTGCTAAAATCTCTCAAACAATCTGCAGCTGGTGATGGTGTGCTCCAAAGCAATCAATAAAAGGTCCAAAATTTGACCCTAGCACCAGCCTGCCTTGCTTCACAGCTGGGCCTCACCTGGCCACCTCCAAGCCCAATACAAATAGCAAATGTCAGCTGTCTGCAGATCCCTCTGTAGCTCCTGCCAGGTGGCCCCAGGGAGTGGCTGACTTTGCATCTCTGTGGAGGCCCCAGACCCAGTGCACCTGGTGGACAGCTCAGACCATAACAAACCCACAACTCCACACATCCACAAGCAACACACTTTAAGAGCCAGAGTCAGGAGCACCAAAGTCCTACTGCTCCAGAGGGGTGTCTCCTGCAAAGCAGCTCTCCCACTGTAGTGGCAGCTGGTCCTCCCAGCCAATTGGCCTGGAGGTCAACTCCTCCCACTGACACCAACAGCAATCGAGGCTCAACTACATGACTGTGCACACAGACCACACAGGGGCACACCTAGAGTGCCCAGCTCAGGTGACGGGAGGCTGAGCCACTGGGCCCCCAGAACACCTACTATACAAGGCCATTCTACCAACTCAAGGACACATGGCAGCTCTACCCAATACATAGAAACAAATACAGGGAAGCAGCCCAAATGTGGAGACAAACATGTCACAAATAAAAGAAATGGAAGAGCCCTGTGCTGAGCAGGGCCCTGGCTTCCCCACTAGATGTCAGGAGCAACCAGAATGTCTGGGGGGGCGGAGGGGGGGACGGGGTGAAGCAGGAGCCTCTATAGAAACTTTACTGAGGAACATTGATCAGTTGCCTCCTGCACACCCCTTACTGGGGGTGTGCCCGCAACCAAGGTTCATGCCCTTGACTGGAATCGAACCTGGGACCCTTGAGTCTGAAATAGTGCAAGTTCTAAGGGAAATCAGCACCTTCAGGCTAAAAAGAACTTTTCCCAAACACAAGACTCTGCCATCAGATCCACAGAAACAACAGACTAGAACCCCAGATGTTGGGGTTACCCGAATCTAAGGTAACTTTTATATGTATGAGGAAATAAAGACCCATGAGCATGTGACCAAGAAAAAAAAAAAAAAAAGAAATGGAAGAAAGCAAACTACTGAATATAGAGTTCAAAACCACAGTCATAAGGTTACTCAAGAATCTTCTTGAGACCTTCCAGGGACTTAGTGATAATTTTTTTTTTTAATGGTTTGTGAGATTTTCAAGGATCTTAGTGAAAATGCAAAAAAAAAAAAAAAAAAAAAATCAGAAATTAAGCATACACTGACTGAAATAAAAATAATATACTGTAGAATAGAGGATTATGAAAATCAAATTAATTTGGAATATGAGGAATAAAATAACACCCAATCAGAAGAGAGGAAAAAAAGAATAAAATATATGAACATAGTGTAAGGAGAATCTGGGACAACTTCAAGCGTACCAACATTTGCATTATGTTGGTGGCAGAAAAAGAGCAAGAGCAAGATATTGAAAACCTATTTGAAGAAATAATAAAAGAAAACTTCCCCTACATGGCGAAATAGACTTATAAGTCCAGGGAGCACAGAGTCCCAAACAAGAGGAACCCAAAGAAGCCCACACCAAGACACATAATACTTAAATGCCAACAATTAATGACAGAGAATCTTAAAAGTAGCAAGATAAAAGCAGTTAGTTACAAGGGAACACCCATACAACTCAACTGATTTCTCAATAGAAACCATGCAGGCCAGAAGGGAGTGGCAAGAAATACTATTGTAAAAACTACGATAGCAAAGATTTACATCCCAGATTATTCTACCCAGCTAAGCTATCATTTAGAATTAAATGTCAGATAAAGAACTTCACAGACAAGAAAATGCTAAAGGAGTTCATCACCACCAAACCAGTATTACATGAAATGTTGAAGGGTATTCTTTAAGAAGAGGAAAAAGAAAGATTTTAAAAATATGAACAATAAAAAGGCAATAAATACTTATCAACTTTGAGGGGGAGAACCAAGATGGTGGCCTAAGCTGCCACCTCGCACAACAATTTCAAAACAACAACTAAAATCAGAACGGACATCATCCAAAAACACAGGAAAGCTGGCGGAATGGGAAATCTACAACTAGAAAGGAGAGAGGCTCACAGAGCGAATTGATAGCCGCAAAACACTGAGGTAGGGTGACACGCCCGCAGAGAGGAAGTGTGGCCAAGTGCCTGGCAGGAAGGGAAAGGAAGTCCCCGATTGCACTTTCTGACTGTACTGAACCTCAACCCCGGCCGAAACCTCGTGGACCCAGGCTCATACAGGTGGAGTACGGACTATAGAGAAAGGCACCTGGAGACTCAGAGACTCGGAGACTGGGGGAGCCGGGAACAGCAGCAGGCAGGGTCTACAGTCACTCTTGTGAGCGTGCGCAGAGAGGTCTGACCACAGAGGTTGCCTCGGCCTCTCCATAGCGCGAGTCGGAAGCTCCAGACTACAGAGACCCGACCTATTGATAATTCCCAACAAACCCCTGGGGCACCCACGCTCTTGCACGGGGAATCTGGACGGTTAGGCAGAAACTCAGGGAAGCGCACAAGGGCAGGGCTGACGGGAAGCAAATACTGTCAGCTCAGCCCTGAGACTCTGCCCCATCCAAGTTGAGCACAGAGGCTTTTGCAATTTTGCAGGTCTGATCCTTTAGACTGTCTCCCATACAGAAGGTATCCCAGAGTAGACACAGCTGATACATCCAATTGGCCTAAAGGTCAATTCCTCCCAGGGATACCAACAGCAATCAAGACGTAACTACAACAAGGCTGTACACACAGTCCACAAAGGGGAGCACCAAGAGTGTCTACGTCAGCCGAAGCCGGTTTGGCTCAGTGGTGGAGCGTTGGTCTGTGGACTGAAGGGTCCCAGGTTCGATTCCGGTCAGGGGCATGTGCCTCGGTTGTGGGCACATCCCCGGTAGGGGGTGTGCAGGAGGCAGCTGGTCAATGTTTCTCTCTCATCGACGTTTTTGGCTCTCTATCTCTCTCCCTTTTCTCTCTGTTAAAAATCAATAAATATCTTTAAAAAAAAAAAAAGTGTCTACCTCAGGTAACTGGGGAGGCTGACCCACTGGGCCATATAGGACACCAAGCACACAAAGCCACCCTACCAACTCAGGAAAGCAGCGAAAATGCCGAGACAAGGAAATAGATCTCACACAAAAAGAATGGAGAACAAAAGACTGGATATAGAGTTCAAAACCATGGTTATAAGGTTTCTCAAGAATTCCCTAGAAAAGGCCAATAAATTTAATGAGACCCAACTAGAAATTAAACATAAACTGACTAAACCATATAAACTAAAATATTATACAGAGATCCAACAGCAGACTGGAGGAACACAAGAATCAAGTCAAAGATTTGGAATACAAACAGCCAAAGGACATTCCTCTGGAGAAGCAAGCAGAAAAGAGAACCCAGAAAGTTGAAGATAGTGTAAGGAGCCTATGGGACAACCCTGGGCATTTTAATTATGATGAGTTTTGATGTGTGCCCCTGAATTCATCTAGTTTGGGACTCTCTGAGCTTCTTGGACTTGTAAGTCCATTTCTTTCACTAGGTAGGGGGAGTTTTCTGTCATTATTTCTTCAAATATATTTTCAGTATCTTCATCTCTCTCTTCTCCTTCTGGCACTCCCATAATGCAAATGTTGGTACTCTTGAAGTTGTCCCAGAGACTCCTTACAACTACCATGTCAAACGAGGCATGTAGCCCACCCGCCGTGAGTTTGACATGCTTGCCTTACACTATCTTCATATTTTGGGTGTTTTTTCTTTTTCTTTTTGCTCTTCTGCTTGGGCATTTTTTATATTTGTGTGTGTGTGTGTGTGTGTGTGTGTGTGTGTGTGTATGTGTTTATTTTAATTTAATTTAATAAATCTTTATTGTTCAGATTATTGCATGTTTCTCCTTTTTCTCCCAATAGCTCCCCTCCACCCCGTTCCCACCCCACCCTTTGCCCTTACCTCCCCCACATTGTCCTCATCCATAGGTGTATGATTTTTGTCCAGTCTCTTCCCACACCCCCAACACTCCTTTCATCCTGCGAATTATCAATCCACTCCCTTTCTATGCCCATGATTCTATTATATTCACCACTTTATTCTGTTCCTCAGATTTTTAATTCACTTGATTTTTGGGTTCACTTGTTGATAGATATGTATTTGTTGTTCATAATTTTTATCTTTACTTTTTCTTCTTCTTTCTCTTCTTAAAGAACACCTTTCAGCATTTCATATAATACTGGTTTGGTGGTGATGAACTCCTTTAGCTTTTTCTTATCTGTGAAGCTCTTTAAAAAAAAAATACATTTTATTGCCGGGACCGGTTTGGCTCAATTGATAGAGTGTCGGCTTGGGGACTGGAGGGTCCTGGGTTCGATTCTGGTCAGGGGCATGTGCCTTGGTTGCGGGCATATCCCCGGTGGGGGGTGTGCAGGAGGCGGCGATTGATGACTCTCTCTCATCGATGTTTCTGGCTCTCTATCTCTCTCCCTTCCTCTCTGTATAAAATCAATAAAATATATTTTAAAAAATACATTTTATTGATTTTTTATAGAGAGAAAGGGAGAGGGATAAAGTTAGAAAAGTCGATGGGAGAGAAACATCCATCAGCTGCCTCCTGCACACCCCCTACTGGGGATGTGCCCACAACCAAGGTATATGCCTTTGACTGGAATTGAACTCGGGATCTTTCAGTCCGCGGGCCCACTCTATCCACTGAGCCAAACCAGTAAGGGCTTTGTAAAGCTCTTTATCTGACCTTCAATACTGAATAATAACTTTGCTGGGTAGAGTAATCTTGGTTATAGGTTCTTGCTATTCATCACTTAGAATATTTCTTGCCACTCCCATCTAGGTCTGCATAGTTTCTGTTGAGAAATCAGCTGACAATCATATGGGTGCTCCCTTATATTAGGTAACTAACTGCTTTTCTCTTGCTGCTTTTAATCTCTTTGTCTTTTGCTCTTAGCATTTTATGATGTGTCTTGGTGTGGTCCTCTTTGGATTCCTTTTGTTGGGGGTTCTCTGCATTTCCTGGGCTTATAAGTCTCTTTCACCAGGTGTAGGAAGTTTTCAATCATTATTTCTTCAAATAGGTTTCTTGCTCTCTCTCTTCTTCTGGCACTCCCATAATTCTGAAGTTGGTACACTTGAAGTTGTCCTAGAGGCTTCTTACACTATCTTCAAATTTTTGGATTCTTTTTTCTTTCTGTTTTCCTGGTTGAGTGCTCTTTTTGCTTCTTTGTATTTCAAATCTTTGACTTGACTCTTGCGGTCCTCTAGTTGGGTTTCTGTATAATTTTTTTTTTTCAGTCAGTGTATGTTTAATTTCTAGTTGGTCCTTTTTCATATCCTCAAGAGTCTCATTAAATTTATTGGCCTTGCCGAAACCTGTTTGGCTCAGTGGATAGAGCGTTGGTCTGCGGACTGAAAGGTCCCGAGTTCGATTCCGGTCAAGGGCATGTACA